ACCAGTCTTTGGGTTGATGAATAGTATATTAATTCAATTGTTTCAAAGTAAAAGGAGAAGGAGGCTAAAGAACATTTTGTCCAGGCTGAGAGGCTAAGCAGGGTCAGGCCTCATTAGTACATCGATATGAAACTCCAGGGAACATTAGGGCTAAAGGCTGCACTGGGTGGTAAAAAAAATTCCTGGGAGAAAGCAGGGATCAATCGTGTCTGTATTACTGTAAGGAAGATATATGAATGTGTTCATAAAGTTACTAACTCCCTTTGAAGGAGGCTTTCCATCAAGGGAGGAAGAGGTCAAATAAATCAGGATGGCAACTTTGATTGCACGGTCATGGCTGCCATCTTGATGGCATTTTTTAATTCCCCCCTATGGGGAAGCCTGCTTTCCACATTTACAGACAATAATTAGGTTAAATACAGAAGAGTGAAGGAAGATGAGTAAATCCCATTGCACTTGGCAGGCAAAACAAACTGGAACAACAGGGCACAAATGAATCATGGCAGTTAGAAATAGAGTGATTTGACTCCATCCACTCGCACTGAGCGGTTGATGGATGAAGACTAAATGAATCACCACCACACATTTTATGAAAGGATTATGTCTAATATAACTCACATAGGGAATTATTCCAGCAAAATAGGTAGTGATCACTGTCTTTTCTGAATAATTCTGCATCTCCATCATTTCCATTCCACAGTTTCTCCAAGAACCTTCAACCTGACCTGTGAACATGTTCTCTTCCTGATATCTTGAAACTCTAAAAATAGTGTGACAGTGACTAGACCCCACTGGGGGGAGGCAGGAAAGAATTAGAAGATTGCGTATGGGTGTGGGGGTGTGAAGCAAGAGTTTCTGCTAGTGAGGGAACACATCACCCACAAGCTCTGCAGAGTTGTCTCACTTCCAATGAAAAGACCACCTTTGCTACCTTTTCAGATAAACTTCAGCAAAGCCACCAGTTCATCAACTTGTTTCTTTGACAAAGGCAACATTAAGAGATTGAATGGGTCTAAAGCTGATTCTGAAATGGTTCCAAGACCTTAGTGTGGAAGTGCTCTTCATTTTGAAGAATCACCATGATAAGATTAACATTGCCATGGTGCTCAGTACCTCATACAATATACAGTGGGGCAAAAAAGTATTTAGTCAGCCACCAATTGTGCAAGTTCTCCCACTTAAAAAGATGAGAGAGGCCT